ATTACATATTCTTATAACCATATCACATGTCGATTGCTTATGACGATGTGGTTGGGAAGGTGGGGCCGTATTTGAAGACGTCGTTGCCGTCTTACGACATAAGTGACACCCACTACCCAACCATGTCGAAAAGCGGGATTTTCCTTTCGCAACTTTGTTAATATTGCATGATGTTTATGCAAACCTGCATGTGTGAGTCTGTGTGATACTGTAGGGATACTGTGTGATTCTCTCTCTCTCTCTATCTATCTATCTATCTATCTATCTATCTATCTATCTATCTATCTATCTCTATCTCTCTCTCTGTCTCGTGAGTGTTGGTGCGGTTAAAAGACTGCGATAATGTGTCCACAATGACCATAGCTCAAAACTCTGCCGCAGGGTATTGTGGCTCATTGGCAGGTGGATAAAATATGAATGGAAATGAACATCACGAGAGGCAGTGGTATGTCTCGAAAAACGGGATTCCACTTTTCGGTGCTCAGTTAGGAATGGAACACTGAACGTGTCTTTTTATTGTTGTGTTTGTGGTAGCGAGGTAGGATAAAAAAACGAACTTCGTGGAAGGGCCAAGTAGTAAGTCCATTGTGTGTGCAAAGCATTTGGCATTGTAGGTGTGAGGGCATTTCATATCCTATAGAGTCGACAGAGCAGATGACGGACGACCACATGGTGTGTGAATGCGGTCGACCTTTCAGTTCATTAAGGACATTAAACTCTTATCGCGCGAGGGCATGTCTGGTGCCAACGAGTCGTAGATCAAACGATGACGACGGACAGAGTCGGGACAACAGATCCGAGGGGGAGGACGGCGCGCCGGATGGCAATGGTCTGGGAGAGAACATCGTCGACCTCGCTGTGGAAGCCGAAATGGAATGTGGTTCCGAGGAAGATCCCCCCGACGTGCGGGCGTTTGACACATCCCGCAGACTGGCTGCGATCATATTGTCCTCTAGGAGTAGCTTAGGGATGTCACTTAACGACATCGACGCTCTTCTCTTAGTACTGAGAGATCCAAGTTTTTCGCCGTAGGAAATCGTGTATCGCAACAGCTGTGAGTTTTTACGTTGGACGAGCAGGCAGGCAGAGACGAACGGGTGGCGGGAGATAGATCTCAGAAGTGATGACTGGCCACCGGATGCACATGCCGTGCTATGGTACCGAGATTGGCGCACGACTTTCACGTCACTGCTCAAAGCAGCGACGAGGAATATGGAAACGGTGTCGTGTCTCTCGGCCCCCTCCCCCCCAGCCAGAACCCACAATAGACAGCGCTCGCTGTGTTGGAGCATCACGTGCAGACCATCATCAGAGCGCACAAAGGCGTAAATAAGAATGGCAGAACACGGTATGCAGTGCCAATCTGTATGTATTCTGACAAGACACATGTAGATGGACGGCAAAAACAGACAACATATCCATTAATGATGTCAATAGGTGACCATGCACATTACGCGACACTTCTCGCGTATCTTCCTGTCCTCCATCACCGCCCAAGAGACAAGGGATGGGGTTTGCAAAGCACCGCGTTCAGGCAACGCAAAGCCGTCATATTGCACTCAGCTCTGTCTGCGGTGTTGCAGGCTGCGAAGCACGCGTCGCATGATGGCATTGTTTATGACGATGAGCGCTGGGGAGAAGTAACAGTGCACCCTTTCCTACTGAATTATATTAAAGATTACCCTGAGAGGTGCGCCATCGCAACGGTTCGATACGGTGTTTACGCGACATGCACAGTGTCAAAATCACATTTTGATGTCATTGCGGACTTCAATAACTATCGTCGATCACAAAGCAGGGAACGTGCACTTCTAATAGAATTCCACACGACAGACAACGATGATGTTCGTCGCTTGGCGAAGACACAATTGTCGAACTTGAACATGCACACACATTTGAAAGAGAACGGCCTGTGGGGGTTTCATAGAGGTCTTGAAGACGATGATCTGATGTTCGACTACCACCTGGCTCTGCAACCGGACCGCATGCACACCATCGAGCATGACATTTTTTTGCACATGTTAGACGCTTTCAAAGCAGCTCCCTTTGACAAGTTAAGCCACGTCCCACAAAGCCATGTGTTGAAGGAGTTGGATGCGAGGTTGCAAACATTGAGCAAGAGAAGGAGTACTACGTATCCGCAACTTGTGCTACCTGTTGCAACAGGTTGCGACTACTTTTCACGAGAGGGCCGTTTCGAAGCTAAGCAGAACCAGTCGGTCATGACAGTGTGCGTATTCATAGTGTCCAACATAGTCCCCGGTTCAGTAGGGAAACGAATAACATCTTGTTTCAAGAAACTAATAGAACTGTACATCTCAATGTTCCGGTGCACAAAGCATTCAAGTCATTCGCTTGACGCATGTGACAATCTGATGACGGACTTCATAACAACCCTCAAACASGTCCTGGGTCGTTATSAAACCTCSAACWGGAAAGTGYCGAAGTTACATGACCTTSTGCATTTGAGGGCGTGCATCGAACGTTCAGGTCTCCCTGATAGCTTCGCGGCCGATGTCTAGGAGCACCACCACCAGAAGTTTTGCAAACAGCCTTTCCTGTCGTCGAACAAACGCAAAGCCTCGTTTCAAATGGTAAATCACGTGCGAAGGACAGTCGCATTCGACGACGACATTGACCGTGCACGGAAACACAGGAAGAGGACAACTGAAAATTGGTCGTCGGTCATGGAGTGCTCGGCACGTGGAATGAACACACTTGCCGCACACGACACGGCAAAGATGCAACTCTGATATTTCCCCCAAGAAAATGAAGGAATAAATGGGAACGAAGGTGCGACGGGAACCACCAAAGCAATATTGGATGCCCTCCCGTGTAAGGAGTTATTTCCAGAAGCTCTTCACACATACATGTCGGAAAACGGGTGCAATCCACCGCCAGAGGACATGTTAATACGCACTAGAACGCATCTGGCCATCGTAGCAACAGGCGAAAGAACAACCAGGGGCGCACTTGTGCAAACTGCGAGGGCTTCACCCAACTTCCACGGGAAAGCGGTGCACAGTGATGTGTCTGTGAGGGCACAGACAGGAAGTATGTGGTATGCATCTGTGGCAATGTTTTTTGCCATGAACACCTGTACGGAAGGAGTGCCCACCACGCACGAGTGCGCCTTTGTGAAATGGTACAAAGAGGCAGACACTGAAAGAGCAGATGTGACAGGGTGCAAAAAATTGAAATGGGAAGTGATAAATGGTCGCCAACTGTGCAGCGTCATCTCCGTTGACAGCATCACGAACACTGTACACATTGTTCCATATTTCGCAAAACTGATGTGGGGTTCATCAACATATGGAAGACAACGTGACGACACTTTTTACTTGAACAGATTTGTATTGTGATATGTCGCTCGCGGCGCTGAACGGTGACAGCACGGTCCGGCTGGGTAGTACGTGCCAATCAAAGGAACACCTCTCACGCACCACCTCTTTATGGCCCCCACCACCCAAATCAATCTCTCTCTCTCTCTCTCTCTCTCTCTCTCTCTCTCTCTCTCTCTCTCTCTCTCTCTCTCTCTCTCATCGCTTGACCAAGGAACGACAACCAAAACTGACGCTAAAAAGCTCGTGAAAATGCTGCTGGCTTGTTCACCGGTAGAATGTCACTCATCACGAGGAACAACACTGACCTATCAGCAGTGGCAGGAGATGTGACCACGAGAAGAGGGAAACGATCAAGAACAACACGAATGCGGACAACAGAAGGGAACAACCCTGGTCGTGAGAGCGTGGCCGATGTCACGATGGAGAGTAATCGAGAGAAAACAATACCGAGGAAAGAAGACCATGTTGAGCGCAGCGAAGTGGAAATGCAAAAGTTGGACAAGGGAGCGACGCACACGGAGAAGAGCCCAGAAGCCACAATGACAGAAGTCGAAGAAACAACAGAGAGGACAACGGCGAATTGCAGAATAATGACAATGGAGGCTATGTTGGAGAGATGGGAGCACCTGTCCCGGAAGGACCCGTGGTACAACAGGATGTACTTGTATACAACAAGGGGAATAACCCGGTCAGTGGATCTGGGACGTTCAGAGTCGTGTGGGAAGACGAGATAGGGAAAGAAGGGCGAGAATACATCAAGCTCGTCGGACGGGTTGGAGGTTGTTGACGAGTCCAAAATAAAATCACTCACATGGCAACGCAGAGGGGAGGAGATTCGACTGGGAGAGGCCGATATAATGTGCTTGGCCGTTGGGAAGTGGCTCAATGACAATGTAATGGACATGTATTTGCAGTCAGTATACGAAGAGCAATGTCAAGGTAAGAACACCGCAGAAGTGCATGTGTGCACAACGTTTTGGAATCCGCAATTGCTCGCTAATCAGCAAGGTGACACAGCGAAAAGAGGATGGGAGTTGCGTATGAAGAGTCGGACGACCAAAGTCCATCGACAGTGTAAAGACCTCGAGGTTGCACCGGTTGTGCTTATTCCAATTAACCACAAACATCATTGGATGCTGCTCATATTGTTGAATGTAAGGGAGTTTTGGACCGACGGCACATTGCCCGAACGCCATAATCGTTGACTCATGTCACGGGTATGCAAGTCCGGATTGGAAGGCGTTGCGGACATTATTGTGGCACGAATACCTCAACGACAACAGAAGGGGTCCGGATGTCACACGACAACTGGTGGACAAGTCGTGGAACACTTGCAGAGACGTGTTCGGTCGTGGACTCATCCATGCGAGGTATTCACAACAAAGCAACAGAGAGGATTGTGGTGTGTATGTATGTTGCATGGCAGAAGAGTTGATAACTAAGCTTGCACATCCCCCAACACAGAATGACATCTCGAAAGACGACGTACTGGAGATTGTAGAGAAGATGCACATCGATGAAAGAACTGTTCGAAACTTCCGCGTCAGAGCTCTCGATCGCATTGCAGAGTGCGCAGCAGCAGCAAAAGGTCACAAGAGTCTTGGAGCACACCGCACACTAGCTCGTGCGATGAGAGTGAAGATAAGAAAAGACGGTGGCGAATTGCCTTAGACAACGACGCAAGTGGCATGCCGGKGGGRCGATGRTKGGGGGGGRGGGGGGGGGGGGGATCGTGATTTCGAAAAACGGAGGAGGACTGGAGGTGTATATTACGAGGAATTTGGAGAACAATATTGAATGCGCCAATTTTTTTTTCTTTTTCTTGCATGGACGAGATATCTTACCCTGTCAACATATAATATGAGAAACATCTCTCTCTCTCTCTCTCTCTCTCTCTCTCTCTCTCTCTATCTATCTATCTATCTATCTATCTATCTATCTATCTATCTCCTTCAAGAATGTCCAGGCTGAACCGCATTGTAAAGTGGTCTATACATGATGGAGCGTTTGAGTAAAAAGCTCATAACTGGAATGTTGTGTGTGTCATGTAGCTTTGCAATGACACCCCGCCGCAGGTATGAAGATCTTGCCTCATCCTTATTGCAAATACAGGAAAGACAGCCACCAGCACGGCAGAGCAAACACACTGCAGTCAGGAAAGAGAAGAGGAAAATCAAGAGACGTCCCCAGGGAAAAAGTAAGACGTCACCTTTGAGGCTTTGATGAAGTCCCGAGCGGACTGTGCTGCGGTCACGAAGCGACAAAAGGCGAAACAGTCTGAAGGTAACAAACGACAACGAGAGTCGGCCCCCACCTCGCCGGCCTCCGTGAAGAATCGCACACGACACAACCGATAACCGCCACGGGTGCCAAGGAAAACGTCATGTGCAAAAGGGGTAGAATCATTGCCGGCCTCCGTGAAGAATCGCACACGAAAACAGTCCGACCCGCACGATGATACCGAGGGCACACGATACAACCGATCAACCTCGACGCAATATCGAAAATCCGAAGAGGAGGAGAATAATTGAGAGGGTGGGAGAGGAGAAGGAGGCAATTGATCTGAGGGGTTCCGATGGTGTCGTGGCAGGCGACACCGGAAAACGAGACGTGTCACGGGATGCAGTTCGTAAGACACAACAGTCCGACCCGCACAATGATACCGAGGGCAGCGGTAGACGTAGCGAGGGCACATGCAACGAAGGAGAATCGTACGGAAAAGATGCGAGCAACGAAGAGGAGAACAACGATAGTGGGTCCCGCAACAACGAGAATAGCGATGATGACGATGAAGAGGAGGAAGACGGATCCCGGAGCAGCGGCACGGAAGAAAGATGTAGCGAAGACAATACACAAAACACGTATCGAAGAACGCATGAAGGAACAAGTGACGGACGCAGCGAGGAAAACAACGCGGACAAGCAGTTAGTCCTAAAGGAGAAGGCAAACAAAGGACGTAAGTATAGAATGGTCGAGGAAAGGAAAAAAAAAAAAAAAAAAAAAAACTGAAGACAAATGGTCACTCGACATGTTGTTTCGCTCAAACTGTTGTCATTGCGTGGACGTAGTGCAAAATGGTAGAGAACTGTATGCGTTGTAGGATAAGAAAATCTGAGATACACTGCAAATAACTAACCACAGTTGCAGTTGTTTCTCTTGTGAAGCCATTGTGCGAATGGGGTGCATAACAACTTCAAACTTGTGGGTATCGCGCGCGTTGTTGCAGGTCGGCACATATTACAAGGAGGGAGACAGCGCAAGGACGACACGAAAGTGGTCAAGCAATCAGGGGTTGCCACAGGAGAGGAAAACGAATTATTTGGGAAAAAGGAAAAAGACAGACTGCTGAGGTCCGTCGTGAAAGCTTTTGTGCACTCAACAGGGAAGGACGCAATTTTCTACCCTTCAGAGGACGACTTCTTCAGTGCGGTGAAGTTGGCTGCTACCCTTTTGGGAGAAGATGTAAGGGCAGGATGGGGGAAGCATGTAGAGAAGAAGGGTTTGCGGAATGTGCTCATAGAGTGCAACCGAATGATGACAACGGTCCGCGGAGAGTTGTCTTGGCACTTGAGACACTGGTTCTGGGGAGAGAGAGGTGCCCCCCTCGTACGCGGCGCACAAATGGATCATAATAACACCATGCGCAACGAACTGCGTTGCCAGATGAGCAAAGACAAAACGTGGAGGAGGAAGGACGACGAGCCATGGGAAGCATCGCATTTCAAGAGGGCACTCACAAAAGTGTTCCAAATAAGAAAAGACGGTGAGAAGATGGGCGTGACATTGCAACAACTAGCGTTTACCGAACTTGTGATCCGCACAGAAATCGAGCAGGCGAAGAAGTCAAGCAAGGCGTCGGATTAGTTGCTGCAAATGGCCAGTATGAAGAATGACATAGTGAACACAGCCCGGAGCCGGGACACATTTATGAGTTTCTGCATTTTCAAGCTCGACACTGATACCCACGTGGCAGATGTGGCGGCACGGTAGAACAGAACAGGGAACACAAGGAGAGACATGCGTGCGGTTGACAACAACAGCGACAACGCACAAAACTTTGAATTCGAAGTGCTGGTACCACACACACAATCACGAGCTTCGTGCTGAGGACCTTGGAAACCTGTCCCGGACTGGCACTCCTGTTCTTCAGACAGATGACGCATGGTGAAAGACGTGGTGGTACTGCGTGTCTGCAACTCCTACCACAAGAAGACGTCGAGAGAGAGAGAGAGAGAGAGAGAGAGAGAGAGAGAGAGAGAGAGAGAGAGAGAGAG